CCCCCCCCCCAGAGTCTGCCCCCCGAGTGGTCCAGGCCCCACACTTTGGGAAACTCTGGGCTAAGGGAGGGGTTCACCAGGTGCCGGTCATGTTTTGACCCAGAGACTGGGCATCCTGGGTAAAGAGTCAATGTCTCTGAGTCCCGGGATGGGAGGTGAGGGTCTTTGACAAGCGGAGCTCTCTCATTTGACTCATTTTAGTGGGCAGGAGCGGGCAGGGCCTTCCCAGCCTTGGTGTAAGGAGGGAATGAACTCTCTGGAATGATGGTCCGGAGGGACGGTGAGTTCCTGGGAGCACCTGGGGGCCGGGGCCCAAAGATGACCCGTTCAGAGGGTTGTCGTGAGGCTTGCACAGAGGTGGGATGCTCAGGAGGGGCCTGCAGGGAGCCAGCAGTCAGCAGGCACTGGTGACCCTGCTGTCTCCCTCCTGGGCCAGGTCCGGTGGGAGGCGAATGGCCAAGGTGGTGCGGGACTTCCTCCAGGCCCAGCAGGTGCAGGCGCCCGTGGAGCTCTATTCCGATTGGCTCTCCGTGGGCCACGTGGACGAATTCCTGAGCTTTGTGCCCACCTCTGACCAAAAGGTGCGTCCCTTCTCTCTGAGCCCCCTCTGCTCCTCCCCGACCTGATGGGATGGGATAGGGCAAAGCCACTTGAAATCAGCTCCCCGCCCGTGTCCGTGGTCAGCTCAGAGTCCGGCCACCCGGAGAGCCAGGCGGTGTTAATCAGAGGGGGCTTCCTGGAGGAGGTCAGAGCTCAGCTCCGGAGGCTACTCATCGGCCCCCCTGCTCATACACCCATCCTCACACTTGCTGGGCGTTTGCCCTGATCCAAACCTCTCAGCCTAGACCCAGGAATGACACGGATAGTAATTGGTAACATTCGGCACCTATGATGTGCGTGTGTTTTAACTCATTTGATCTCCCGACACTTCCGTGAGGCGGGTACGCTTCTCGCTGACCCCATTTTATAGATGGGAAAACTGAGGCTCGGAAGGGCAGCTACTGGTAGGGTAAGACCCAGACCCAGACACAGGGCTTGGGACCGCTCGGCTGCCACCACTTTACAGAGAGGGGCCCAGCCCTCAGAGAGGCACGCAGCCCGGGAGGGGCGGCCTCCCAGTGACCAGTGACCGAGTTCCCCGGAAGGCAAGTGAGGAAGGGCATTCAGGCAAAGAGATTATCTTGGACAAAGGCCCCAGGAGTGTGAACCAGCTTGGGGGATTAGGGGATGCTGCC